ACATAAATTGTGTGCAATTTTCTATATTATTTTTTAAATGAGATTAATGAGAGATAAATGAGATATACAATATATAATTGTATGAAATAAAAGTTAAAACACACACACACACAAACAGCTGATAAAAACATCACAATAATCCACATGACTCCAGTCCATCAATTAACGTCTTGTGAAGTGAAAAGCCGTGTTTGTTTAAGAAATAAATCCATCATTAAGCCATTTTAATGGCAAGTCGCTTCTGGTGAAAATACGAGTTCATAAACCAAAATAATGCTTCCTCTAGTGAAAAAAGTCCATCCCCTGTTCTCCTCTCACATCAAAATCCACTGACATATTATTTGTTTAGAACTCTTTTGGACTGTTTTTGCTTGTAAAAAAGTGCTTGATCTGTGCATATTTCTCTTCTGATTCAGATGAGATGACTTTTTCAATGAAAAAAAGCAACGTCTTAGTGATCGATTTGTTTATTAGAAACATGCAGCTTTTCACTTCACAAGACATTACTTAATGGACTAAAGTCATGTGGATAACTTGTGGATTATTGTGATGTTTTTATCAGCTGTTTGGACTCTCATTCTAACGGCACCCATTCACTGCAGAGGATCCATTGTTGAGCAAGTAATGTAATGCTAAATTTCTTTCAAATTTTTCCAAATCTGTTACAATAAAGAAACAAACTCATCTACATCTCAGATGGCCTGAGGGTAAGTACATTTTCAGCCAATTTTTATTTTTGGGTGAACTATTCCTTTAAGCTTTGTGTTGTTATAGATAGATGTAAGTGAGTGGCTGACTGCTGTACAGACGTGCTGGAGACTATCTGTGAACTTCAGGTTAAGCTCTGTCACCTGATACCGCTGCCTCTGTGTGCTGTTAGTTTGCCGTTGGGTTTCCTCATTAGTCTGGGCGCATACATGGGAATGGAAATCAATTATTTAATGCAATCACAATGATTTATTCATGATGTCGACCCATCGTGAGGAATCGCCTCACCGGGTAGGAAAGAGCTCAGCATGCTTTGTGGTGAAAGCTGGCCAAATGAAGGAAAAACACCAGTCATTCAACCATCGTCCTTTGTGCATTTGTGTTAAAGTCAATCTGAATTACTGTTTTCAACTCGTTATACTACATTTTAGAGTAAAACAGTGAGGAAAAACATGGAGTAGAATATAGAACAGGACTTGATTTTGTCTATTTGAAATTATTTCAGTTATTAAAAGTGGGCGTTATATACCAGATTTAGCCTGACCACATGCACATTTATTAAAACAATGCTTAGCTGTTTGATAGAAACATCTACACCTTCTTCAGTACTCATTTTTTCTTAGGGATATGTCTGTCAGATGAAACATATCTCTTAACCACACTGGATTGTCTTAGTATGCTGTGAAATGTGCTGTGTTAAAGGGAGGTGTGGCTCTAGCATTTTTGTGTGGGATGCTTGTTCTCTGGAATGTGTTAGTTGAAGGCAACACAAAGCGTTGTGACAGGCTGAATGAGTCTGTGCTGATTGGCAGAGCACCTCAGGTCTACTTCTGCGGCCCAACTGACATTCATAAAATGCTGGCGGGTCGTTAAGGGTCAGAGGCCGCACATGCTTGAGATTACAGCTTCGCTGTATCCTTGTTATTAGGAAAACAAGGCCCACCGCTTCTTGTCTAGCCTTAGTTTAGGTTCATTTAGAGTCTTCTGAAGACTGCGGGCTGCTGCTAAGTATCCCATCGGAGTTTAAATATCCGGCGGATTCCTCAGCTGTCTTTTTTTCCCTCTCCGCTGCATTCTGTGGTTTGGCATTCCCTTGAAAACATTCCATCTGTGGGGGTTGGACCGGGAAAGTCTGATCCTTCTAGTGAGGGGAAAAAAAACAAACATGTGGAGGAAAGTGGGAGGGTTGAAGAAAGGCCCTGTTAGCATCTGCTGCAGCTTCCAGTGAAAGTGTATGATGGTTTAGGTGTTCATGTCCAGCTAGTTTTATCGCAGCAGAGTGCTTGTCTCTACCTTACAATTTAGGAATAGTTTCTTATTTTAGCTGTAGAATCAATCCCCTTTGGCTGTCTTGTCCTGCCCAGCAAGCTCTTTTTTTTTTTTTGCTCTCCACTGTGGTCTGTTCTGTTAAGCAGTCCTGAGTCTTTTGCCTGAGGCTGACCGATAGCTCTGAGGCTCTGTCCTCAGGTGATGGACTTGTAACAGTAGTATGTGAGCACAGCTGTCTGTCATGCTGTCATGCTGTCAGGACTGTGTGTGTTCTGTGTGGTCAGTCTTGTGTGGGACCCTTGAGCCTGGAAAAGGGAAGTGCAAATGCCGGCATCAGCATTATTTGTATTACATTATTTGTATTTGTCAAAATACAAGTCAATAATAATAACGCTTCCTCCAGTGAAAAAGTACATCCCCTGTTGTCTTTTCACATCAGAATTACTTGACATTTGTTTTGAACTGTTTTGGACTGTTTTTGCTTGTAAATGGTGCTTGATCTATGCTTATTTCTCTTCAGATTCAGATTGGATGATTTTTTTTTTACTGGAGAAAGCAGACTTGCAGTAATTTAGCCAGAAGCAACTGTTTGAAGTTAAAAACTGACGAATTTGTTTATTACAAACATGCAGATTTTGTTTCACAAGACGTTAAGCGATGGATTAGATTATTGTGATGTTTTTATCAGCTGTTTGGACTCACTCTTACGGGACCCATTCACTGCAGAGGATCCATTGGTGAGCAAGTGATACAATGCTAAATTTCTCCGTTTTCTTCATATTTTAGTTATTGGGTTATCTATTCCTTTAAATAAAAGTGACAAAATCCCAAAAGTAAAATGTAGTAGTAAAATGTTAGGGGAACTATTGTGATTGAGGGTGGATGTGGTAAAGCAGGGGGCCTCTTTGCCTATTTGAGTTGAATGTCTGCAGGAAATGTCAATCCCAGTGCCCAATCTTTAGGGTGGAGTGATATGTAGGAGTGGAGATTAGAGACAGGACAAGACATGGGACAAACCTTTCCACCAAACACGATGTGTAATGTGGCGTGAGGTGATACGGAGTGGAAAGAAAAGACACGGTGGATGTCTTCAGTTGCACACTGCTATCAGTGTGTGTGAGAGAAATGCAAACCACTGCATACCCTGATAAATGGTTTGTTGATATTACTGTTGATCTGATGTTTGCGTCTGATCGGTGTCTGCTCACATTTATAGGCTCATTGGAGGTGTTCAGACTGGTCTTAAAGGTTTCAGTTGATTGCCATTTTAATATTATATTGCCATATCAGGCATGTACAAAGCCTGCAGGCCTGATGATAACTTCATTATTGTGCAGAAGTTCTTGTAAGAGCCTTTAGATTGTTCACTACTGCATGGTGGCCTGTTTGCAGTCTGTTCTCATGGGCCTGCCCTTTTCACCACTGTCCCCTCTTTGTGCCTGCTTTCCCATCTTGCCTCTGACACCTTCTACCTCAGAGCCTGATCCTGCTTGTCAGCCTTTTATGTTAATATGCAGTCTTTGTGTCCTAGTATCATGCTGTCCTCTTCTAGTATATAAATTGGTTGATCATTCTAAAAAGGAAGTGACGGCACATTCTGTTTCATGTCATAAGTTCATGAAGTTTGCTGTCTTCATGTGTAAATCAGACTAAAACATGCACAAAAATACGAATACTACCATCATTGTCATTGTACATGCCTAAATTGATCCACTCTCTGTCTTGTTACACCTGAGTGCATATTTTTGGCAGTAACATTTTCCTGCAGTGTAAGGGAAAAGGGTGCTCGTAACCATGGTGATGCCTGCAGACATATTCATGACTATTCTTAAATTCATGCCCTCTGGCCTTCCTGAACACCTCCTTTTACCATCTCCTTGTTCCAGCATTGATCTTCTAACTGCTTTTTTGGTCCTCTCTGAGGTGGGCGGATAGCATGAATCCCTCTCCTCTGGAACTTGTTGTTCAGTGTGGTTGGAGAGCGTGGCCTGTATTTACCCCGGGGTCTCTAGAGAGCTGCTCCAGGTGGAAGTAATAGCCGTCTGTCTTTAGAGCTCTAAAAAGCACTCAAACCCCCAGAGATTTAATGTCCTGAGTAGATTCGTACAGCTGATGTAGTGTTTTGAAAAAAATCTCTGGAGAAGTCACACAAGGTTTTAGAGAAGTATTATGATCATTTATTCATTTTGTGTGTGGATGAGAGTATAGCCTGTCATTATCTAAATCAGTCTGTAGTTTGTTTCATTCATTCATTCATTTATTCATTCTTATTTTTGTTTTCATTTGTTTTTAGTTTATTTTATTTGTTTTTGTTATTGTGTTATTTTATTTGTTTTTTCATTCATTCATTCATTCATTCATTCATTCATTCATTCATTCATTCATCCATTCATTCATTCATTTATATTAGTTTTATTAGTGTTAAATGTATTTATTTATTTTCAGTTGTTTTGTTTTATTTGTTTAGGTTTAATGTATTTTCTTCATTCTTTCTTTCTGTCTTTCCTTATTTATTCATTCTTATGTTCTTATTTTTGTACTTATTTATTTTTGTTTTCATTTGTTATTAGTTCATTTATTGTTTATTTTGTTATTGTGTTATTTTATTTGTTGCATTTATTTATTTATTTATATTTGCCTTTATTTGTGTTTATTTGTTTAGGTTTTATTTTCTTTATTTCTTTCTTTTCTTATATCTATCTATTTATTTTATTTTATTTTATTTAAGTTTTTATTTATTCATATCTGGTTTTATTTTTTTATTTGTTTATGCTTTATTTATGTTTTTTGTATTTTTGTTTTTGTTTATTTTTAACTTAAATTAAAACATGTAAAAAATATATATATTTTAAAAAAGTAATTAAATTGACAGACTTAATATATTTTTTAAAAATGTGTTCATTCTTATATATTATATCAGATTAACATTGCCAGATATAGCCAGAATTTTAGTTGTGCTAGTTTGTTGCAAGCGACCGTTATTTACATAAGCTTTATCTCTTATTCATTTGTTTTATCTGTAGCATCTCCAGATGACCATCCAGGCCCTCCAGGATGAGCTGCGGATCCAGAGAGATCTGAACCAGCTGTTCCAGCAAGACCCCAGCGTTCGTCCCGGCGAGCCCCTGACTGCCGAGCTTACCGAGGATAACTTCCAGCGGCTGCACGGTGAGCATGAGCGGCAGGCCAAGGAACTGTTCCTCCTGAGGAAGACTCTGGAGGAGATGGAGCTGCGCATCGACACGCAGAAACAGACGCTCTGCGCTCGAGACGAATCCATCAAGAAGCTCCTGGAGATGTTGCAGAGCAAAGGGCTGTCGGCCAAGGCCAGCGAGGAGGACCACGAGCGGACACGGAGGCTGGCTGATGCTGAGATGCATATCCATCACCTGAAAAGCCTTTTGGAGCAGAGAGAGAAAGAAATGGTCTTGCTGAGAGAGGTGAGAGTGCTAGTGAACCTCAGAAAACCATCAAACAACACTTATGCAACTTTTAACCTATTAAATGGATAGTTCACCCAAAAATGAAAGTTTGCTGTTAATTTACTCCAAGATGTAGGTGTCTTTTTTTTTTTCTTGAGTAGAACAGTAAAGAAGATACGGTAACACTTTACTTAAAGCCTTTATGTAAAATGCGTTATTAAGGGTTATTAAAGAGTATAATGCATTGTAATTATTCATAATTTGCTTTGCAAAACATTATATCTTGTCATAAATAATTATAATTGAATTTAAAATGCATAGTCTAACAATGAATTGTTATAATGTATTGTTATAATTAAGTGTTATAATTTATTAAGTGTGGTTACAACTATTCATGTGATTGTACAATGCATTATAAGGTGCATTACAAGGCATAATTAATGCATGAAAACTAAATTTATAATGCATTATACATAAAGGCTTTAAGTAAAGTGCTACCGAAGATTCGTAGCTGAAACCGTAGTCGTTGTTGATTAAAAACAACAAAGTCAGCGGCTTCCCGTTTTTGAAAATAAAAAAAGCTTATCAAGAAAAACAAAATTAATACACGTGGCTCCTGATAATATATTGAGGTCTTATAAAGCAAAAGCTGAACATTATTTACAACATTATTAACTGTAATCCCTAGCCTCAAGCAGCCACGAAATCATTTTTTTTCCTGCAAACTTTCCATTTTTGATCATAGACGTGAAAATGCACTATCCAAACTTAAATGGTTGTAATTCATGAATGCTTTGGAATATAGTTGGTCTATTTTTTAAGAAGACAATAAGCAGATTATTGCTGAAATTAAATTTCATAAAAAACATTAAATTATTAAATATTTATAGATGTTTAAGTTTACTGAGAAGAAAATGTAATGTATTAATAAATATTTTATGTAAAACAAATATTTTTATAAAATATTTTGGAGTTCATAAAATTAAAGCCATATTTCTAACTAAGTTATATTCCACATTTCACAAAAATGTAGGTTCCTGTTTAGGTGCTATACCAAAAAAGCCAATGGGTGACACCCAAACTCAACTGATTTTTTAAAAAGTATTTTCCTGTCGCAAACTTGTTTCCACCACTGAATAAAAATTAAAAAAAGGTAATTGCGATCATTTTTATTTCGCAATTCTGACTTTTTTCACAATTATGACTATTTTCTCAGAATTTTTGCGAGTTATAAAGTCCAATTCTGAGGGGAAATTGCAATTGTGTGTTTTAAAAAGTCAGAATTGCAAGATATAAACTCACAATTCTGAGAAAAAAATTCAGAATTGCGAGATAAAAAGTCGTAATTACCTTTTTATTTTTTTATTCAGTGGCGGAAACGGGCTTCCATACAAATGCACACATTTCTGTCACAATATTACTTCTGTCACAAATATAGACTCTTGAGACTCAGGCCTTTTCAACAATGTTTCGTCAAGATTAGAATAAGTTTTGATGATAAAATATTATATTAACTTTTGTAATATGACACTTGACACAGCCCACTAGAAGGTGAGCCAGCTAAAATAATTTAAAGTACCATTTCCATGGTAACACAATTTCCTAGTTCAAAACCACTTTCACAGGATGAATTTTGAGTGTTCGAATGATATATCATGTTTACTAAAATCGCTGACGGTCAACAAATAGAAAAGTGTATACAAATCTGCTATTCACTAGCATTAAATGTGTCAACTTAGCAATTAAATGACTGTTGTGGATTGAATAACAGAACCAAACAGGTGCTCAGGGAACGATGCTGACAGCACTTGGTCATTTATCCAGAGATGATTCGCAGTGAAATGTTTTCGCTAAGACTCCCAATTATGGTGATGCTGAATCAAGGGCTCTAGATTAGTCAGTTTAAACTGGCAAGCTTACCGAGAGAGAGCGAGAGAGGGAACCCTGTTACAAATTGAAGGCATTGAACATTGTTGCTATAGAAACGGGAGAGACTGAAAAGAACATTGATGAAAGGAGACACAGATGTTGCTGACTGCAAAAACTGTTAATGTGGCGGGAGACACATTTATCACATTAAGTTTAGGAGTTTATCTCAAGGAGTGAAGCTGACTGAAGTTTTCATTCATTCATTCATTCATTCATTCATTCATTCATTCATTCATTCATTCATTCATTCATTCATTCATTCATTCATTCATTCATTCATTCATTCATTCATTCATTCATTCATTCATTCATTCATTCATTCATTCATTCATTCATTCATTCATTCATTCATTCATTCATCCATTCATTCATTCATTTATATTAGTTTTATTAGTGTTAAATGTATTTATTTATTTTCAGTTGTTTTGTTTTATTTGTTTAGGTTTAATGTATTTTCTTCATTCTTTCTTTCTGTCTTTCCTTATTTATTCATTCTTATGTTCTTATTTTTGTACTTATTTATTTTTGTTTTCATTTGTTATTAGTTCATTTATTGTTTATTTTGTTATTGTGTTATTTTATTTGTTGCATTTATTTATTTATTTATATTTGCCTTTATTTGTGTTTATTTGTTTAGGTTTTATTTTCTTTATTTCTTTCTTTTCTTATATCTATCTATTTATTTTATTTTATTTTATTTAAGTTTTTATTTATTCATATCTGGTTTTATTTTTTTATTTGTTTATGCTTTATTTATGTTTTTTGTATTTTTGTTTTTGTTTATTTTTAACTTAAATTAAAACATGTAAAAAATATATATATTTTAAAAAAGTAATTAAATTGACAGACTTAATATATTTTTTAAAAATGTGTTCATTCTTATATATTATATCAGATTAACATTGCCAGATATAGCCAGAATTTTAGTTGTGCTAGTTTGTTGCAAGCGACCGTTATTTACATAAGCTTTATCTCTTATTCATTTGTTTTATCTGTAGCATCTCCAGATGACCATCCAGGCCCTCCAGGATGAGCTGCGGATCCAGAGAGATCTGAACCAGCTGTTCCAGCAAGACCCCAGCGTTCGTCCCGGCGAGCCCCTGACTGCCGAGCTTACCGAGGATAACTTCCAGCGGCTGCACGGTGAGCATGAGCGGCAGGCCAAGGAACTGTTCCTCCTGAGGAAGACTCTGGAGGAGATGGAGCTGCGCATCGACACGCAGAAACAGACGCTCTGCGCTCGAGACGAATCCATCAAGAAGCTCCTGGAGATGTTGCAGAGCAAAGGGCTGTCGGCCAAGGCCAGCGAGGAGGACCACGAGCGGACACGGAGGCTGGCTGATGCTGAGATGCATATCCATCACCTGAAAAGCCTTTTGGAGCAGAGAGAGAAAGAAATGGTCTTGCTGAGAGAGGTGAGAGTGCTAGTGAACCTCAGAAAACCATCAAACAACACTTATGCAACTTTTAACCTATTAAATGGATAGTTCACCCAAAAATGAAAGTTTGCTGTTAATTTACTCCAAGATGTAGGTGTCTTTTTTTTTTTCTTGAGTAGAACAGTAAAGAAGATACGGTAACACTTTACTTAAAGCCTTTATGTAAAATGCGTTATTAAGGGTTATTAAAGAGTATAATGCATTGTAATTATTCATAATTTGCTTTGCAAAACATTATATCTTGTCATAAATAATTATAATTGAATTTAAAATGCATAGTCTAACAATGAATTGTTATAATGTATTGTTATAATTAAGTGTTATAATTTATTAAGTGTGGTTACAACTATTCATGTGATTGTACAATGCATTATAAGGTGCATTACAAGGCATAATTAATGCATGAAAACTAAATTTATAATGCATTATACATAAAGGCTTTAAGTAAAGTGCTACCGAAGATTCGTAGCTGAAACCGTAGTCGTTGTTGATTAAAAACAACAAAGTCAGCGGCTTCCCGTTTTTGAAAATAAAAAAAGCTTATCAAGAAAAACAAAATTAATACACGTGGCTCCTGATAATATATTGAGGTCTTATAAAGCAAAAGCTGAACATTATTTACAACATTATTAACTGTAATCCCTAGCCTCAAGCAGCCACGAAATCATTTTTTTTCCTGCAAACTTTCCATTTTTGATCATAGACGTGAAAATGCACTATCCAAACTTAAATGGTTGTAATTCATGAATGCTTTGGAATATAGTTGGTCTATTTTTTAAGAAGACAATAAGCAGATTATTGCTGAAATTAAATTTCATAAAAAACATTAAATTATTAAATATTTATAGATGTTTAAGTTTACTGAGAAGAAAATGTAATGTATTAATAAATATTTTATGTAAAACAAATATTTTTATAAAATATTTTGGAGTTCATAAAATTAAAGCCATATTTCTAACTAAGTTATATTCCACATTTCACAAAAATGTAGGTTCCTGTTTAGGTGCTATACCAAAAAAGCCAATGGGTGACACCCAAACTCAACTGATTTTTTAAAAAGTATTTTCCTGTCGCAAACTTGTTTCCACCACTGAATAAAAATTAAAAAAAGGTAATTGCGATCATTTTTATTTCGCAATTCTGACTTTTTTCACAATTATGACTATTTTCTCAGAATTTTTGCGAGTTATAAAGTCCAATTCTGAGGGGAAATTGCAATTGTGTGTTTTAAAAAGTCAGAATTGCAAGATATAAACTCACAATTCTGAGAAAAAAATTCAGAATTGCGAGATAAAAAGTCGTAATTACCTTTTTATTTTTTTATTCAGTGGCGGAAACGGGCTTCCATACAAATGCACACATTTCTGTCACAATATTACTTCTGTCACAAATATAGACTCTTGAGACTCAGGCCTTTTCAACAATGTTTCGTCAAGATTAGAATAAGTTTTGATGATAAAATATTATATTAACTTTTGTAATATGACACTTGACACAGCCCACTAGAAGGTGAGCCAGCTAAAATAATTTAAAGTACCATTTCCATGGTAACACAATTTCCTAGTTCAAAACCACTTTCACAGGATGAATTTTGAGTGTTCGAATGATATATCATGTTTACTAAAATCGCTGACGGTCAACAAATAGAAAAGTGTATACAAATCTGCTATTCACTAGCATTAAATGTGTCAACTTAGCAATTAAATGACTGTTGTGGATTGAATAACAGAACCAAACAGGTGCTCAGGGAACGATGCTGACAGCACTTGGTCATTTATCCAGAGATGATTCGCAGTGAAATGTTTTCGCTAAGACTCCCAATTATGGTGATGCTGAATCAAGGGCTCTAGATTAGTCAGTTTAAACTGGCAAGCTTACCGAGAGAGAGCGAGAGAGGGAACCCTGTTACAAATTGAAGGCATTGAACATTGTTGCTATAGAAACGGGAGAGACTGAAAAGAACATTGATGAAAGGAGACACAGATGTTGCTGACTGCAAAAACTGTTAATGTGGCGGGAGACACATTTATCACATTAAGTTTAGGAGTTTATCTCAAGGAGTGAAGCTGACTGAAGTTTATTCAAGTTCAACTGAAATTCCCTGTCAGTTTTGATACATAATAGAGTTTAGTTTGTAATACTTAACCCGGAAGAGAATTAGCTTCCCTTGTGAATTTCTAATAGGCTTTTAGTGTAGCAGTTTTTGAATTATAAGTAAGATGAGACATTCATGTTTTGTTGACAGAAATATGGTCATACCTCAGACGTTGCAAGTTGCTAATAAGTTGGACTCATGGATGTGATGTGAGTTAATGTCCTTGATGAATCAAGCAACCATTTTAGTGCCTATGTGCTGTCTGTATCCCTTCATTCTTATTAGAATAAGATGCAATGCCGTCAGGAGGCTGTTATGTAGTTTTCAAAGGAGTTCTGTCTGGCATTCCCTCTTTGTATTTTTGTCAGGCATCTGCTGAGACAGCCAGCAGTCAATAGCAGGACTTTTGCAACGGTGACATCTAGTGGCCAGTTAATAAAATGACACAATCAACTCCATTGCACATACAGTTTATCACATTTTCTCAACTGGTTGTGGGAGACAATATGCAGGACTTTGAAAGGAATTGATCAAAAGAGCAGACAGTACTACACTCCTGTTAGTAGGGACAGGGAGATCAGGGTTTTCTTTCTTTCTTTATTTACATAATGTCCACCTAGCATGCTTATTACATGGCCACAAAGAACCCTTTGTTTGTCTGTCAAATTCTTTATTGTTTTTGAAAAGTATTTTATAGTCTATTACAGAAATGCAGTAAAACAGAAATATTATTACAATTTCAGAATGATTTTCAGAATGAACGTTCATATCAGAATGATTTCTGAAGGATCATATGTATATAATTTTATATATTTAATATAATATATATTTATATATATATATATAATTTGTTTCGAATATAATTTATTTATATTATATGTATTTATATTTTTTTCAAATGTTAATTGAATATGATGTTAAAGAATAAATTACACTCACACACACACACACACACACACACACACACAAAAAAAAAAAAATATATATATTTTTTTTTTTTTTTT